ACCAAAATGGCATAATACAACAATAACAAAAAGTGAGGGTATAGCTAGGGCAAGGGTGTGAATTGTATGGCTCTTCAGATATTGCCAAACTGCAATTCCCAGCAGTCCTACTCACCATAGCTAGTGACAAGGAATGCTGGGAATTGTAGTTCAACAGTATCTGGAGGCCCACACAATTACTGCTCCAATATAATGTACACCATAATACTATAATGTTAATTTTCATTACCATGTTATAGTGAGCAAAGGGGCATTGTTCGGTTGCAACTCCCTGTATTATTCATTATTCATGTTGGACTGCAACTCCCAGTATTACTCATTACTGGCTGTGCAGGCTGTGCTGGGTAGGTTGTAATTCAGCATCATAGAGAGGTCAATCTGTATGCACCCAGTGCAAGAAGATTGCAATCCAATATTACTAATTTTTAAATTTAAATTTAAATTTTTTTAAACGTATAAATTACTTCAATTCTGGCAATGACCAAAAAGGTAGTCGTGTTTTTAGATTAGTATTATTAGCACCATGTTGCTACAGCACTTCACCTCCATTTTCCTATGTTCTAGAACAGTGGTTCTTAACCTGGGTTCGAGCGAACACCAGGGGTTCGGTGAGTCAGTCTCGTGGGTTCGGCGGAAGTCAAGACACACATCTGATTCATATGATTCGTGATGACACGCCCCGCTCATCCATCATTGGCTGCAGGTGATAACCTGTATACGTTTTATATGCCCCTCTATTTATATGCCCCATCCAACCAAACCAGCTTGCCCCGCCTCCACCGACAGAAGTGGCCCTCTGATTGGCCGTGTGGCGTGATTGACAGCGCGGCGGCCCATTCCCCTCACCAGATGGCGCTGATGGTCCATCTGTATTGGCGGTAGAAGGGTTCGGTGAATGCATAAGAATTGTAAGAAGGGTTTGGTGAATGCACATATGCAACTGGTGGGGGTCAGTACCTCCGACAAGGTTAAGAATCACTGTTCTAGAAGGAGAAATGTTTCTGCAATAACTAAAAGACTGATATAAAGAAGAAAAATGGGGGCATTACAAGGGGCCCACTATAATATTTACAGTGACTATATGTTGAGTTTCAAATAAGACCATGCAAAGCAGATATATCATAATCAATAGTATGGAAAGAATATAATGAGATGTATGTACAGATTAAGTACATCAACACTGAGAGAGGAAAGTCAACTGCAATTCCACTTTTACTGTAGTTCAGGACAGAACAGCAATGGGGTTTTGCTATGTATGGAAAGAGATGATTAGCAAGGGCTGGACAGGATAACTGGAGCATGCAATTCAGTGATGCCTTTTTCTGGAGATCTAGTATGGGGCTGTGGATTTAGCTATCTGTTGAGGTGTTTAAACCATGTATACACCTATATTCAACCTGTATACAGGCAGATCTCAGTTAATAAACCTCTGACAAAGAAGCTCCATTTTACAAAGTGTTTTTATGCCCACCTAGCTCCCTTTCCTCCTTTTCCTTTGTCTAGCTGAAAGACTTGAGCAGCACAGGTAGTGGGAGGTTTTCAAAAGAGGGCTGGACTTTCACTGTTGGGTTGCAGCAGCATGTTTGGAATAAACAATGCATTAGAAATTTGAGCTAGGAAAAGTGGGATCCTGGTATAGCTGATCCTACTGTAGCTGTTTGGGCCTAAATAAATACCGTCTAATTAATCCATTTGTAAGCCGCTTTGATAGCCTTTTGGCCAAAGAGTGGGGTATAAAATACATTAATAATAATAATAATAAAATATCCTAAAGACACAAGCTCCCGTCTGATCTTGGAAGCTAAGCAGGGTGGATGGATGGGAGATCACCAACAAAGACCAGGTGTTGTAGATTATCTTACCAAGGAATGAACTGGCAAAACCACATCTGAGCATTCCTTGTCTAAGAAAACACTATGAAATCCATGGGGTCAGCATAAGTCGACAGGTGACTTGAATACACAAATGCACACTGCAGTTGTTTGCTGCCTATCATGGTGGTGTGGGGAATCTTTGCTGTTTTTCCTTTTTGTGGTTCCATATTATTTCTGCCACTGGTACAAAATTTTCTGTAATGCCCAGAACACATCGACATTATTCATTACTTTGAGAAAGTAATGCCTAGAACACATCTAGATCGTTCATTGAGGTACACATGTATTTGTAAATAAGCTCAAATATTATAAAACAGTGGATAAGCCTTCAGCTATTATCTTCCAAAGAAAGCCAGTGCTGCCCCGGTAAGTAACACTCCCCTAAAATCTTACTGGAGAATTAATGAGAATGTAAAAATATACCGTAACTTGCTTTCGTTACTGTTCAGAGTACTTGGTTTGGTTTTGATAAATTTGCAGATTTTATTTCCACAGCCATGGTGCTTGTCTAAAAAATGTTTGCATTCTCTCTCTCATTATGTAGAACAACCTTTCCCACCCTGGTCCTCTCCAGATGTTTTAGGCTTCAGTTCCCATAAGCCACATGGCCATAAGTTAGCAATGGGTTGAGAGTTAAGAGGTACCAAGATCAGGAAAGTTGATGCAGGGGAATGGTTTACATTAACTCCTATGGGAAAACCAAAGTATTGCCTTGCAGATGATGAAATACTGTGATGAAAGCCAAAACTACTCGCCAGCCTTGACACTATATTTCTTGTCTAAGTTGAAACCCTCTGCAAATCCCCTCACCCTCATTATAAGGATACTCCTTTCACTATTGCCTTTGCAGACTGCCAGAAGTAGTGCAAATTAAGTCCACTTTAACTGCCCTGACTCAGTGCTAGGGAATCATGGGAACTGTAGTTTATTGTGGCACCAGAGCTCTCTGACAGAGAAGGCTCAATGTCTTGGGAAAAAATACATTTCCCATGATTCCCTAGCACTGAGCCAGGACAGTTAAAGTGGACTCAATTTGCACTATTTCTAGCAGTCTGCAAAGGCCCTAAGTAAATAAAGTTCATTCCTAATATGATTTGTCAGTAAAACTGAATAAGCATGAATGTTTGATATTATGTAAATATGTGGCAAACATCCCTAGCTTTAAATGTTTAAGGTCTGGTTTCCTTCACTTAATTTTTTTTGTATGAGTTCTGCAAAATCCATGTCAGTTAAGTGTTAAAAATACTTTTAACTTAATTGGGTTTACAGGGTTCAATCCAAAAAATGTTCCCAGTGGCAGAAAGGTGAAAGAGATCATTTTTACAGTTCCTCTCTCCTTCTGTAGCTCACAGTGCCATTCCTGCTCTTTTCCAAAGGACCCCCCAAACTTTCTGGGGCACATCTTGAGAGGACACAAGAAGGAAGTGTTGAAGAACATTTGTTGTGGCACCAGAGCTCTGAACATGCAGCCCTTTGTAGCTCTGTTCTGACGCCACAACAAACTACAGTTCCCAGAATCCTACAGCATTGAGCCGTGGCAGTTAAAGTGGTGTCAAACCAGATTATTTCTACTGTGCGGATGCAACCAGAAAGATCCCTTCTGTTCAAGGGAAGCTTATGCTGGTTCCATGGAGTAGCATTTTTCGTGCTTGCTGTCCTATCTTTTTTTTTCTACACTGAGATCTTCAAAGATTAAAAATTTCAAGCCACAAGCGTAAGGGTTTTTAAAAAGCTGTATCTTCGCTCGTTCAACATCTTTGCTATTATAGATTTATTTAAAAGACAGCCATGCTGTGCATAAATGAACAAGCATTTGCACTTGTGCACAGTATATGTTGACTGCAAAAGAAAATAGGGGAAAAGTGACAAGGGGTAAGATAAATGTTGCTTTGATGAGAAGAAAGGCAAAACTTTTATCTAAAGAAGGGGTATTGTGCTCCTCCAAACATGGAAACAATGAAAGCCTTATGCATCTAACCCCATCCGCTGCTCTAATACTAAAGGTTCAGTAAAAGGAGTAGAGGGGGGGAAAGCCTTTGTACAAGAGAAAATAAAGAACAATTCATAAGCATGGGGAGGGGAAGGTTTGCTGGTTGACAGGTATTTGCATTTCATTAAAGGAAAGGCAACCTGTTGGAAAGGAGAACCTTGGGGAGATTAAGGTTTACATTTGATGTGAAGTATCCAGGAGTCATAGGAAACTGTGCATATCACTTGAAAGTATCGGACAGGTGTGTCCCCAGTATGCACCTCACTAGGAAGTGTTCCTATGTTTGCACAACAGATCATGTTCCACAGCTTAACAAGGAAGCCTTTTGAAAAACGAATAAAGAATATTTAGGTTGCTGGAGGATGAGTAGTTCATATACTGTTCTGAAGCTGAATACATACTTCCTGGAGTGTTGCATTGGCTGCATTGATTTTCTGACTTAATGTGTACTACACCTATGAACCAAAGGGAGATTACATTAAACTATGTGAAGACATCCAGGATCTGTTGCTGTTCGGCTGGTAGGAGTAATAATGGACCATATAGTGCTTCTTGGAATTATTTGTTAAGTGTATAGAAAAATAATTTTAAAGTATCATTGCTCATGAATAGTCCACAATAATCAGGTGATATTTCATTAGGTCTCCTAATAGCAGGAACCTATATTTTAAATGTTTACCCATCAGAGTAGGATCAGGCACTTGACTAGTCATAAAAGTGATGGTCTGCTGTCTATTTAGATATTGGACAATATTGCTGTTGTTGTGTACCTTCAAGTTGTCTCCGACTTATGGCAATCTTAAGGCAGATCTATCCTGGGGATTTCTTCGCAATTTGTTCAGAGGAGGTTTGCCATTGCCTTTCTCTGAGACAGAGAGAGTGTGATTTGCCCAAGATCACCCACTGGATTTCATGGCTGAGCAGGGATTCAAACCCTGTTTTCCAGAAGTCATAGTCCAACGCCCAAACCACTATGACAAACTGGCATCATCAAATAACAAATATGTGTGTTTGAAGTATTGAGCTTATAAAACCAAAACTATATTAATTTAAAAGTGTGATGTGTGACTATAAACAATTCAATCCAAATCAGACAGCTGTTGCTGCAAAAAATAATATTGGACAGACATGTAGGAGCCAGTGTGGTGCAGTGGTTTGAGTGTAGGACTTGGGCTCTGGAGATCAGGGTTTGATTTCCTGCTCTGCAATGGAAATCCACTGGGTGACCTTGGGCGAGTCACACACTCTCAGCCCCAGAGCATACCATCATAGGGTCGCCTTAGGGTTGCCATAGGTCAGAAGCGACTTGAAAGTGCACAACTACAGCAGTGTAGGAGGACATGGTAGCTGAACCTCTGATCTGCTTCTCCTGAAAGTAATTATTTCAGGCCTAGTACTCTTCTGAATGGATTTGGCTGTGGCACGGAAGACTAACGAAGATGGAGAACTAACACAAAATTGGCAGAGGAGTCTTACATTAGTGTCTGGCTACTGGGAGCCATATCAAAGCCTAATAAGTTGGGTTGTTAATGTTAGAAAGCATTAAAAAGAGAATCGATCAAGTGTTCTAATACATAAAAGAATGTTTCATGGTATGAATGTAACACTCAGGATTCAAATTTTTGCATCGAAATGTTAAAAGCAAAAAAACTTCCAAACACTTAGTTTAAACAACAACAAAAGAACAAACCCAGGTTTAAACCAAGTGTGGGTGTGTGTTTAAAAAAATCTGGCCTGAATCTTTTTTGGGGGGTTGCAGACTGCCAGAAATAGTGCAAATTGAGTCCACTTTTAGGGTTAGGGTTAGGGAATCATGGGAACTGTACTTTATTGTGGCAGACAGAGAAGGCTCAATGTCTCAGGAAAAAAAACAATTCCCATGATTCCCTAGCACTAACCCTAACCCTAACCCTAAAAGTGGACTCAATTTGCAGTATTTCTGGCAGTCTGCAACCCCCCTTTGTCTCACAGGGAAACTGCTGCTGGAAAAGGAGATTCTTGGGCCTCATTCCCACTACATTATAAACTGGTTCACTAACCAGTTTAAAGCAATTTAAATGATGCTGGTTCACACTTGAGATGAATTGCTGAAGTGGTTTGGCAAGCACCCCCCCACACGCTAGACCCATTTAACACGTGTCTTTTTGACACTCATTTTTTTCCACGTCTTTTGCAATAAATCAATTCAGCGCAAGCGTGAATGGGATGCCGATTGGAATCAATTTAAATTTGCCCTTTAAATTTGCCAGCCAGCTGAAGAGGGTCCATTTTGAATCAATTCATTAGTCAATGTGAATAACAAGTGGATTATTTTACAAAAAAAATGTGATCTGGGCAAATGTAGTGTGAACCGTGCTCTGCTGTTGGACAGATCCATCAATTCAGATCGCAAACTTATTTATTTGTAAGTGGGAATGAGGCCTTGCTAGATGCAGGAGAAAAGAAACAGAAACAAATACAGTGGAACCTCTACTTACGAAATTAATCCGTTCCAGCA